TCCCAGGGAAGAATTTGGATTTTGGATTTAGACCATTCTCCGGAAGACGATGCATAGGCTTGGTGGCTGTTTAATAATTTATTATTTATTTTATGTTATCGATGCCTCTAGTGTTTTCTACAGTGCTGCATATTTCATGTAGCAGAGGGCAGAGGGAGATGGCCAGGCCATCTAGCACCATCTCAACAACCTTTATAAATTATTGGAAGTTTCCTTGGTAAAACCGATGCTACCCCGTCTCCAGCTGTACCTACAGTCGCACACAACAGCCTAATGCGGATTAATGGGGCGCTCATGGTGATGAAGGGGCTGCAGCCCTGCAGTTACTCCGCCAAAGAGAGGCAATTAAAACCCTATCACTGCAGTATAAATACAGCGAAATTAAGTTGTTGTCCTGCCACATGGTGGCAATTTTGACTTGCTGCATAATGAAAGCCTGTGTCATATTTTATTCAGAAGTAGTGACTCTACCAGGAAAATGTTTTTAATTTACTTGAATCAGTCTGGAGCAGTGTTATCGGCAATGAATATGAAGTGTGTAAACTCCTGTCTTATTGTCACTAAAATATCAATAGTGGTAATAAATGTTTGCTCGCTCTCTATTCATCACGGAGCTAAGCAAAGCTGGAAGTTTACATCTGGAAATCATGGAATATAGCCTGATATGATGAAAGACATGCATTAGCATATTCAAATGTAGTAGGGGAAAACAAATTACTTGTTTCAAATTATTCAAATTAACTATTCTCATAGCCGTTCTCTAAAACTCTAAGAGAAATTATTGAGTCCCAGCAATTGGGTTCTCCCAGTTTATTGTGGCTGCCTGCCGTTTTGGGGGCCAAAAGCTGCTCTGAGCGGCCTTCCCTCCTCCTTTTTGCAATGAAAGGGCTCAAAGTCAGCCTAAAATCAAGAGGCTTCTTGGTATGCTGCTTGTTCTGGGATGTTGTAGGGCTTTTGGGGGAGTAAATTCATGAAATGGGATTATATCATGAAATATTGGGGTAGGAAAAAATCAGAGGATTAATAAAATTAAGGAACTTCTTCCTGTAGTACAAATTGCAAAACTACTGTGCAGTTTGAACGTAAAAAGAGAAATAGCATTAAACACGATGCTGCCTCTCCCTCCATGAACGTTCCGAGGACTTAAGTTATTGCTGTTTCTCTCCCAATGTTTCCCAGTGCTCTAGAAACACCCGTACCTGCCTCCCTGCCAACCCGGGCGAGCGTTGGGGCGTATTGGGTGGTCGGGGCTCCCCGTGCAGCGGGCGGCAGGGACGAGGGCGCCCTGAGCAAGCTCTGGCTTCAGCAGCTGACTAATTTAATCAAGTCTTGTTACAGCAAAATGATTCCACTGTAAGCAGCCTGTAAAAACTGTAATAAGCACAGTAAGAAATGCACGGGTTTTTTTTTCCCCTTTGTGGTTTTTCATGCTGTCAAAGCCCACTACCAGGAAAGCCGCGACGTGCCGCAAAGCTGTTTGTCAGCGCCCGGGTTTATTTTTGCTGGGAAGTATTGATTGCGGAATGAGAAACATTTAGTTGAACAGCGGTCGATGAGGAGCAGGCAAAGGACGCTCTGAAGTTTGACCCGTTTTAATTTGAATGAAAACACAGAACCCGGGGCAGTTTAGGAGCACAGGGAGAAACAGGAGGCACTGGGAGAAATCGCCTCTCCCGGGAATGAAATCTTCCTTGCGCTGGAAAAAGGGAGACCCTGTTAGTTAAAGAAACCAGTTGGGAGAGGAGGACCCAAAACGCCAATTTCTGGTTCAGTTAATATATCATAATTAATCCTAGAAAAATGTATCCTGTGTTATTTTCTTCTCCTCATTTAAACCCAATACAAAGTATCTGTTGGCAATCAATATTAATTACAGAGAAATCATGGCCCACTTTGGCAAATGCTTACAAATAGTTGTTAAAAAATTAATGTGAAGGTTAATAGACTGATTTCAAGCAATGTTTAACCTGTGAAAAATATTCTTATGTAGACTTTTGCTAACAAAATGGTTCTCCCATATTAGTGTAATGAATAATTCCAGAGTAAACCTGTTGAACCTACTGGGACAAACAAATTTCAGGGAAAAGAAGAATCTTACTTACATTTAAGCAATAGCAGGAATCTTAGTTACATTTAAGCAATAGAGGGAAAAAAAGAAGAAATATCTGGGTCATGCTCTTGGTTGGGCTCCCCTCTCTCTCTTGAGACTTCATTTTGACTTTTTTGTTTGAATAAGAATGGGTCCTGCTTGTGTAGATGAGATCGCTGCTGCTGCGAGCTGCTTTGTGCGTCGTGTGCACGAGTGTTTTGTGTCCTGGAGACTGAAAACTGCTCAAGGGTGGGTGTCCTTTTGCTCTCCTTCCCCCTCCCAGACTAGTTAATCTGCGATGTGGCTGCAGATAGCTCTACTTTCTGCAAGGGTGGCATCCAGGCTGCCAGTAGTGCCCTCAACCTGCAGGGAATTCCTGGTCGCTGGGAAGAGGCAGGATTTGAGGGCCGTGGGTTGATGCTTCTGTTTGGGTTCCTGCAGCCTCGGGCCTTGCTGGCCATCCCATTCCCTGCAAGGAGCCTCGGCTGGTACCTGGGGGCGGCCTCCTGCAGCGGGATGCTTCGATTTCTTAACTTCTCTTAATCGTCTTTATCTTCATGTCACTTAATTTCCCAAATCTTGCTGCTCTCCTAAGGAGAGTTGGTTGTGGTTTTTGCTTGGTTGTTTTAAGGTGACTCCTGGGTCCTCTCCTGGTCGCTGGGCGTGGATCGGTGCGTGTAGAGCAGCAGTGCAGACTTCCCCACGTAAGCGTGAGGAGTGACCAGCAACATCAAGGCTCGTGATCCACCTGCAGGAGATCGATGAAGCCCAGAAATGGCTTCTGCAGTTTGCGCCTTAAACGCCGGGTCGTCGCTGCACGTTTCTTTTCATGGCATTTTCCTTGTTGCCCTCTGAAAGCCCTTGTAAGAAAAGCTCACCTACAAGAAAAGATGCCAGGGACAGTGGGCGACAAGGGCCACTGAAAAGTGTAATTTTAAAGGTGGCTTTGATGGGCGTGAAGCTGGAGAGATGCCGAGGGCTGTGAAAGTCCCTCCTGTGCCCCTGGGCCGAGTCGCGCGGGGTCTCCTCGTGCTCGGGCCCTGGAGCCGAAGCAAGCGGGACCTCGCAGCGCCGTGTTTGTTCAGCATTAAGGACATAACTTAAATAATTTAACTAGAGCAGTGGATTTATTTCCAAATAACTTGTGTCTTGTTTTGAAATTTTCCCTTTTCCCGATATTTTGGCTAGCCAAACAGAAGCCCTCCTCTCTCTGCGTAGTCACTGTGTCTTCCCACAAGCGAATAGATATTTCATTTACTCCTTTGCCACCTCCCTCTGTGACATCTGCTTATTTATCACTGTCTTTAAGGTCCCTTTTGTGCTTGGTAATGTTCATATTTTTGGTCCCGTGGTTACTGCTATTATAAATTATTATCCAGTAAGATTTATAGCCGTGAGACTTGTACAAATAGTCTTATCTCCCCCATTTAATGGCTTAACGCAAAGAAACCTTTGCTATTTTCTAATGAAATGGTATGTAGAATTTCTAGATGCATTTTTGCAGATACGCCATAAAAATTTAAGTCTGCAACGAAACTACATCCGACAGCCTACAAATCACATGTGCATTGAGATTGTTCAGGGTATCTGGATGCTGTACCTGGAGTTAATTCTACAATGTCAACAGTCACTGGAACCCCCATCACTAGGGAAGCGTAATGTTAATTGTCTATGTTTATTATTTGTTTATTACCTCGTTTAAATGCACAAGGAAAAAAATCATTTAATTTCTGCGTGGGAGTCGCATGGAAAAGGCCATATTATTTTATTCCAGTAGCACGTTTCATAAATTTTCAGTTCTTTCTCTTACTCCTCTTAAATCACACATGGCTACTTTAAAATAGGGTTTTGCTGTCATTAGTTTTGCTTTTATATGACATTTTAGTGTCCGGAACTAACATAAAAGAACCACTAAAGATCAGCTCCTGCCATGGTTGATTTATCTAGGTTGCACAGTATGTCGTGGTGGGTGCTGCGGCCCAGGGTTTCAAGAATTAACAACAGCCATAGCCCTTGAGACCTGATAGGAAAATTACTGACATTTTAATTTCTCTTGCATTTCCTTGCCTGGGTACCCCGTTTTTATAAAGCTTATTGTTTCACGTAGCATTTCAGCAGACAGGCGCTGCCCTCTTGATGGGAATGCTGCTCCCAGCCAAACCCAGGGATCCGGGGGCTGTGGAGTCAGGGCCCTGTCTGCCCCCGAGGCTGAGCCAGGCAGCGATGAGTGATGAGTTGTCCTCTGGATAACAGAAATTGGCCCGTTTCAGGCTGCTAGGGTATTACCAAGAAATGTTAAAGTTGCTTACATCTCAAGTATGACTTCTAGAAGTTATTTTGAGTAGAGATGAGGGAAAAAGGTCTTATGAAGGAGAGGAATGGTTATTTCTAATTGCTGTTTTGCTGTTTTTCGGTAGGTCTGAGCCGAATAAGAGTCACTCAAAGTAATGGGGATATTTTATAGCAATCTGCCATCCTGCAGGTTGAGACTCCAGCAGATCAAAATATGATGGGTTCTTTATTTCTTTGGGTTTTCTTTTTTTTTTTTTTTTGCAGTAGCAGTAGAGGAAAAATGGGAGAGAGAAAAGCAGGATTTTTTCACTGCGTTATGTTTTTTCACTGTGTTATGTTATCTTATGTTGAATTATTAAACTGTAGGAAATGTTGAGGTTCTTTGGTTTGGAGTGAACACTATGTTTACTGTAGAGAATAACTCTCCACTATCAGGTGACAAAACTGGAAAACCTTCCATCTCTAGCCAATTGATCTATTGCCATATAAAACTGTTGGGATTGTATAGTTGGTGTAATAATTTTGGTTGCTTATTGATCTTTCCCAAACTTAATATCAAATTTATCATAAAAAGATGTTTTACATGTGCAGTTAATGAATAACCTTTATGCTCTTCCAGCGTGAGAAGCTGATACATGAGTTGGAGGAAGAAAGACATTTGAGACTTGAGAGTGAGAAGAGACTGCGGGAGGTGACGCTGGAGTCGGAGCGAAGCAGAGCTCAGATGCGGGGACTGCAAGAACAGTTTTCCAGGTATGTTGTATGCGTAGACTGTGTTCAGCATAGGGCAAGAACAGGCTGTGATACAAGAAGATTGATGAAACTCCTTGGTAACTTGGATGGAATCTGAGGCCAAAAGCGGCACCTCTGAAATTCCACAAACACAATAAGTGTTTGGCCAAGTGGCTGGTATCATCCTGTAAAACAGAAGGGGCTTATACCATTATTCTACATAAAGATGTGAACATTTCATTTCTAGAGATTCTTGTATTAGAATTCCCAGTATTTTTCCACAGGAAGTACAGGACTTCATGCTTCTCAACTACTGCATGCCATTGAGGAATTTGTTTGCTTGTTTTTAATTATTTGAAGTGCTGGAAGAAAAGCTGTTGTCTTTACAATTGAAAGTAATGTCCCATTAACTGTTAAGAATGGGTTTGATCAGTCTAAATAATTGAAAAAAAATACATTGCCTTTTACGTGCTAGGTCACCACCTGGCTTGGATGTGTTCGGGATCTCTTTCTGCATTGACCTGAACAGAGTTTTGTGCTGGAACATTGCTCCGCTTACCAGAAAGCCGCCTTAGACTTGGGGATTTAAGACAAACTATTCAAATAACCACAATAGGGATTGGAATTTTTTATTATTTTTATGATACACAATGATATCATCAAATACAATCTTTTTTTATTGCTTTATCATGTGATCAGAAAATAAAACAATCAGGACAGAATCAAAAAAGATGATGGAATTTTATGCTGTATATTTTCCATCAACATTAGGTATTAATTCATTCCTTTTGCCCCTTCAAAATGTTTGAAAAGCTCAGGTTCAGTTTAAAATGATGAAAACAGGCTATGGGGCAGGTATTTTAATTTGATTGCTTGTGTGTGTATGTGAGGGAGGATTAGGGTTTTCTGTTTTGGTTTTTCTTTTTGTTCAGTGTCTGCCATGATGCTCCTCCCATGCATGACTGGGTTTCTAGGCAACAGTGAAGAAGCATTTAATAGTAATAACAAAATTTGATCTGATTTTTTTTGAGGGGGGGAAAATTTCCAGATTTTTTAATTTAAAGATTTTTTTAAAATAAAAGCTTTTATAAATGACTGAAATTCCTTCCTCTAAAAATGCTAAAGCTCAAGATTTTCTTCCTTTTAAATTTTTTCTTCTTGTTTTCTCATCTTTGAATTAAAATTTTAATTATTCTGATGAGGCTCCCAGGATGGTACACACAGGTATGCACACACACACACACACACACACACACACTTAAAACCACTCTGCGTATTCTTAGTTATTTTGCTCTCTTGCATATTAGTCTTTATTTATGGAAGAAGTTCTTAAGGTCCTTGTTTTAGAAAAGTAGTTCTTGTTGCAATACCACACACACACACACTTAAAACCACTCTGCGTATTCTTAGTTATTTTGCTCTCTTGCATATTAGTCTTTATTTATGGAAGAAGTTCTTAAGGTCCTTGTTTTAGAAAAGTAGTTCTTGTTGCAATACCTAGAAGCCTTTGTGCTGTTTAAGTTGATGTGGCCCTGGTTTAACAAAGAAAGAGT